CCATTCCTATAATATTATAGGAACCATTCCCATAATATATTGAAGCTATTCCATTATTGTATAGGAACGTTTCCCATAAATTATGGGTATGGTTCCCATAATGAGTATAGGATTAATGCCTATAATGATAATTTTATTATAGGATCCATTCTCATAATTGTTGGAAAGATTCCTATAAATTTCTCTCCGTGTAGTTAATTTATTAATTTATTAATTTATTAATTTTAATAAAAAAAGTTCATAGTATTATAAACACATCATTTGCATCTGTGTCAAATGAGGTTAAGTCGGCTTTATTTTTATTTTGGTATTTTGCTGAGGAAGAAACCGAGTTTTTTTAAAATCACTATACTTTTTAGTGTTGGAAAAAAACTTTAGAATTCTCCACACAGGAGTACAGTTTCTTTACTGGAGGGAAAAAATTCCTAGGTGGAAAAAAACTTTTTTTTTCAGTGCATTTACATAATAGAATTGTGAATTCAAAACGGTAGACAATGACTAAACGCTTTCAGAGGAATCCGGTAGGTACAAAGCTGCCTGAATAATCCAAATCAATCGGCTTTGGATTCGAACGACATATCCCAGAAGTAGTGCTTTGATGTATCGCTGTGCGATTTAGAAAACAATTACTGGACTATTAGATATAGTGTGATCTGAGTTATACTCAAATTACGGAGGAATCTGTGGCTTCTATTCTGTGAAGCAGCTACCATTGATTGATCGCTAACTGTCACTAAAGCTAGTTAACCTTTCTTTGATCCTGACAATTTTTTAATCTAATCGGAACGTTTAATTAATTTTTGTTAATTCTCATCCCTATTAAAATTAAACGCAACTGTTAATAAAAAAACTGTACATTTGATGGAACGACCATTTAACTCTTACAGGCAGAACCAGCACTCGTCTATGACAGCGTTCAAGTGTTTGCTCATGGCCTAGCTTCTTTGGACCGAAGTCATGTACTCCGACCTATGAATCTATCCTGCGAAAAGGAAGAGCCGTGGGATGATGGTCTGTCACTATACAATTACATCAATACAGTAAGTACAGTTTTCTAAGACACGTTAAAACTTTTATTAGGGCTATTATGTTTATTTCAACAAACCCAAAGTTTTATTAATTTACTATAAACGACTATTATTATTTATAAAAAATAGAAAGTATTAATTTAATGGGACGAAATTAAATGAACAAAAACTAATTCTCACTTTTAATGTTCCGCATTAAGTACTTGTTAAATCGCTTTTATACTCGTCATTTATTTTCACAGAGAAAATAAAGTAGTCCTAGCTATAGTGATATAAGATATCCACATAAATACTTTATCTAGTTCTTATTTGTTAGAATTTCTTCGATGGAAAGCAATGAAACTTCTTTTAATTGTGTCAATAAAAAGCACACTCACGCGCTAAAACATTATAAGGTGTGCAAAGCAATCACTGTATCTAATTGTTCAGTATTAATTTAGAAAAAATCATAAACTCCGTCAAAAATTTTTATATGAATTATAAAATTTACTCTTGTTAGGATAAATTTACTCTGTGAAGATTAATGTTAAAAAAAAAACCTACTCTCCTTCGTGGAAAAAAATTTTATCTTATGATGAATTTTATCCTTAAATTCATATTTTAAAATAAATATGATTTTATAATAAATTTATTATGAAAATATTTTAATTTTTTTACAAAAATTTATAAAAAAAACAAAAAAATTAAGTTAAATTTCGTTAATTTTTATTTCTATGGTCGACTCAAAAAATATTCCATACTTTAAGCTCGAAACCTGTAGGTCTAATCTACTAGAGCTTAAAAGAACAATTCTCGATTTCACTACCCTAAATAATATCTTTAAATTATAACATACAATAAACGAAATTAAAATCACACTGATTGATGGAAAAATGATTGCTGGATCAATTAAAAATATTTAAAAATCGATAAATTTCCATTTTTTATCTGAAAAATGTGTTTAAGATAGTACCGCTGCAAAATTCATGTTTTACCAAAGTTATGAAATTTTTTTTATCGAAAGATAAATACATTAATATCTTACCACCAAAATTTTAGATCGATTCACCCCACCATTTCTGAGTAATTAATTTTTGAAATTGCTTTTTATAAATGTATGGAAAGTCAATAAAGTTAGTATAAAATCTAATTGCATCACTCGTGCGGTACGAAAGATTTCATATTAACTTGATCGGCTATCCATGCCTATATATGTAAATTTTTATGTGAAATTCATTTTTTTTTTGTGATTTATCTATTTTAACAATAAAAATTAATTACAAGATACATAAATAGTGTTATGGCAAAATTATTATTATCTGGTTATATTTATCTTTATTGTCATTTATTACACTCAGTAATCAAACTGTCATATATAAAATTGGATAACCATGATTATTAAAATTAATTAAAACATTTATTGTTGCTTAAAATGCCTTTGAAAATGTTATCGTCGTTCTATCAATCTTTCAAATTTTATCGTGGCGTGTATTTAATGACACAATCAACAAAATAAAAATTTTTATTGGTGAATGAATTTTTGTTGTGAAAAATGAAAAAAGAAAATGATTCACATATGTTATTATTTATTGTAATTAAAAGTAGAAAAGTGGAATTGAATCTAAAGTTTCATTGGCAGTAAATTGAAAATTAGAAATGCTCAACAACTCCAGAAAAATACATGATTTAATTTATGATTCTGTGAGTAATTGCGACGTCAACACAATAAAAGTAATTATTCATAGTCGTGAATTTAGTAGAAGTACCAGTAGCGATCTAGTTCTCGATGTATCGTTTATTCATTCCGATCGTGTTCAATTTTCTCATTCTAGTCCAGATAACTCTGGCTGGAAGAATAACAAATTTCCCAAAGTACGTTCATCCGTCAGACACAGCTTTTGAAAGTAACGGTAAAAAATTTATTTAAAAAAAATACTTGTCAATTAACCAACTTACCTAAAATAGATAAATCAAATATTAAACTGTTAAAGAAAAAATATAGAGAGTAAATTATATACGATTAATAATATTGTAGATAACGATTATGAGAACGCCGATAATAATTACAAAACAACAGGTCAAATCAATGGTTTACTTGTATCCAATAATCATAATAATGGAGGGCTTATAAAAATAAATCGTTATCGCCTGTCTCAAAGTTCGCACAAAGATAATCACAGGTATCATTAAAGTATAAAATAGAATATCTTTAAAATATTTAGGTTGAAACATTATATAAAAGTATAAAATATTTCATAGTTATATTTCAATAAGTATTGTACAATATAGAAGCATCAATTTTATTGTTAATTTGATTCAAAAGAAAAAAATTTTAAACCAAAAAAAATTCAATTCAAGAAATTTCATTGTCCTGAGTTGAGCAGAAACATATTTTATCACGTTAATTTAAATCAAAAAAAAATTTCTTCGTTCAAAAATTTTTCTGCTTGAATCAAGGTCATCTTCCATGAAAAAATTTTCTGATATAACTATATTTTCCGATATCAATATATCGCCTGATCGGGTTATATATAGACTTATCATGCTGTATATGAGAATAAAGAAATAGTTTATTGTAATTTTTTAACTTTTTATTTTTTCCAAAAATTTGTACGTCAATTAACTTAACGTATTAAACGAAAATTTGTTCAGTAGGTGATTGAACTAAAAGTCAGTCTCAAAAAAGCGTTTTAAGAGAATAAAATATGATTTTTATTTTAGAAAATAAAACTTTAAACTTGAGTCTTTTATAAAGAGATGATCCAGCGATCATGCGCTCTTTGTCATATATTTTCAACTCTATCTTACGTCGAAAAACTGTAAATCGGCGCATATGATCATATCAGGCCATATGTGGGTAGGTCAAGTCACTTCAGGACATATTGTCATAACAAGTCCGTATATAACTGTATCAGAAAATTTTTTCAAGCGTTAATTCTTTAAAACTATTTTATTGAAACTAGTCAATTTTCATATTAGTGTACATATTTTGGCACCAAAAACTTAATAGACACATTATTTAACTAAAGTTGTCTTGTCTCATGAAGAATCGAAGAATGGTAGTAGATAAATTTTTTTAATATGATTTTTCATATCCTCTGAAAACTCAATAAAATTCTACAGCAAAAAAGTGAATTTATTGCCATTGTACTTTAAAAATGAATACGGAATTTTCCTTTTAATACAGTATGAGAAAGAAAAATTTTTGTCCAGAGAAAGTTTTCTTGTCTCAAAAATTTATTAAAATGAATTATTTAAGTTTATTAATTTTTTGACACAAGAATATCAATACTTACTTTAATTATAAAATATTTGTCTTTATTAATAGTTAACCAAACAAATAGCTTTACTTAGATTAAGTAAAAATAACTTTGATCAATTCAACCAATTTTTTAGACAAGAAAATATATTCTCAATAATTATCTCTAATAAAAATATTTTTAATTATCTAGGCCTCCCGATTATAACGAAGCATCAACTCCATTAAATCCTCCGAACTTTGGAAGCCCAGATCAATTTTCTAAAGAATCATTAGCATACTTCAGCAATCAAGCAAAAGCTCCAGCCGAATATTACTTCAATGTCAACTCATTCCCCTTTAACATGGTATTAACATTCATTAAAAACTCTCCACAGTTAAAAAGTCAAATATTATGGTTCATAAACTCAGTACGATCTATCGTTCAGCTTATCAACAAGCACATGGAATTGGCAAATGATTATTTATCCTCCAGTTCATATTATTAAATTTATTATTTATTATTATTAATATAATATAAATTTGTCATAAAATAAATTAGACTCAATTTTAGTCGTAAATTGATCGACTAAAAATTGAGCGTCAATGTTTTAAGATTAATAATACCATACATTTCCTCTTGATACTTAAATAATACATTTGACATACGCCTGTATTGAAAGCGCTGTAAAAAATAGATCACTTCCAATACACAGAATATTTTTTAACTTTTCGTTTATTTTTTTTCCGTATCGCGGTACTTTTATCGCTGTTATCGAGACGATAAATATAGGATTCTGTCCTGAGTATTTTTTGTTATCAAGTGTTCTCTATAGTGTGAGTAAAACCTTGAATAATTTCCCCTGAACATTGATCCTATAATATAAAATTGATGACTAAAATGAAGTTAGTTTAGTATCGAAATTATATTGATACTAATCGAAAAAGTGGCCCCTGACTCCTTATTGGTTGAGGATTAGAGCGCGCGCTTATGCGCACAATTTTAATTCCTGATGAATACTGAATTGTAATAAGTGAATATACTTATTTATACATTTTTATTCACTTTTAGTATGAATAATTAAGAAAGATAAATTATTTTATTATATTATGCTATTGTAATAAATATAAATTAAATTAATAAATAGAACCGATAAAACAGCATAAAATTGTTGGAAAAGTAAACTTGATCCATTACAAAGATCAAAGTCACAATAAAACATACTGAGCAGTTGAATGTAGACTTTAGCCGTGCCGTTCCCCATATCAATCAATTTTGGGTCTGCTTTTTCGTCAGTGACAAACGTTTTACTGCTGCAACCTCGACCTCTAACACCCGAAGTGTAGTTTGCTATCAGCCAATTCAAAAACAATATTTATTATCATTAGAAACAAATAGAATGCACATTATATTACTTACATAATACGTATGATACAATTAAACAAGCTGCCCCTTTTGGAGTGTCAGGACAATCTCTCAGAATTTTCTCAGATTTTGACAAATCAGTGCAATAACTACATTCGTAACATCTAATGGCTTCACCTTGTAATTTATAAATAACTCAAATAATTCATTTTATAATAATAATCAAAAGTAATGTCGATGGTAATACAATTACCTGTGATTATTAGTAACGAAATAATGCTTAGAGACAAAAAATAATCCATTATCACAATAATACTGATAAATTAAAGTAAGTGTTCAATTTTTTAAGATAAAATATTTCGATTAGGCCATCGAGTTCTTAACGCACTATCAAGGTTACATCATACTTTTGATTTTAATTTTTTTTTGTTTTACAAATATATCCAT